CTTAGTTCCCCGATGCCCAACCTTTACATTTTTTGGGTTCTGACAATTTAGTAGTAATCTGAAAGTTTAACCTTTTATTTCCCTTGCTTGTTGGGGAAGTAAGAAACTACCCCTGAACAGCGGGGCCGTTGTCTTGAAGGACTGCAAAGTTCGGTACCCCTGGTTTTCAGAAGCCCCATGTCGTTGCGCAGGTGGTTCTCGAAAGCCATTTGGGTGGCTGAGGAGTCCGGGAAGGTGAAGGAGGCGCAGAGTTGTTGAATCTTACTGCTGGAGTTGGGAAGGGTTTAGGGTTCCCTAGCAAGGTAAATTTACACCTTCTTGTGGTGTTGACCTCTATCGATGTCGATTCCGATGTCTTGCGGGAGCTGATTCACCGCAGATGCCTCAAGGAGCCACGAAGCTCTGGTTTTGCAACGAGCCCCGTCTTACTCAGAACGGCCAAGACCTCTCGCCTGACCTGCAGGTTCCGGAGAGCTTGCGGGCGGTGCTGTATTCCAACCGGGCGCGGCCCCCCTTGCAGAGCCTGCTCCGGTGTGAAGGTTGCTGTGTGTATGATGTTTCCGCGTGTGCCCATGTGTGTTGGCTTTTCTGTACAAGGTATGCACGGATGTACAGAATCCGAGCATGCATGCCTAACTAAGTCGCGCTATGATGTCTGGGGATACTGAATTTCTCAATTGCCCCCATAGTAGCCTGGCTCTCAAGATCCCTCGACCCGAAGCCCAAACCCAAGCCTAAGCACTTACAACTGTTCTCTAAGTCCAAGATTATCCCGCATAGCAAGCCGAAAATGGCCCGATAACGTACCAGGAATATCAATAGCAACACTGTTCATAAGAGTCACACTATCCGCAGTATTGACAGTAAGTAAGGGTGGTACTAGTCGTTTGAACTGTAGTACTACGCTGATATCACGAAACCCCAAACCCTAAACCGTAAGCTCTGAGCCCGAAGTAACTCTAAGCTAGACCCTAAACCCTGAACCCTAAACGGCCCGAAACCCTAAGCCCTGCAAGCCCTAAACCCTAAACCCGAAACGGCCCTAAACCCTAAAACCCTAAACCCTTAAACGGCCCTAAACCCTAAACCCGAAACGGCCCTAAACCCTAAACCCTTAAACGGCCCTAAACCCTAAACCCGAAACGGCCCTAAACCCGACTGACCCCGTGAAGATGTGGAGCTCCGGAGGCTTTCGCCCGGCTGAAGATGAAGCAGTGGTCCGGCGTGGAAGAGGACTGCACCAAGGCCGCTGTAGGGCTCGCTTTTTTTTTTTAATAGTAGGGGCCTAAAGAATGACCAATATATTTTTTGGGGGTTCCTTATTGTAAATATAGTATAATGGGCCGCAAGACCCCTATTCTAACTATTCATGCCCCGACATTCGGGTTTTGGATTGCTTCCTCAGTCTTCGGGGTTTGAAAACTCGATCTGATGATACGGGTAGTATTCTAAATTCGGCCCTTGTAAATTTAGGCGCCGGAAATAGTACGGCACCCTTATAAGGAGGACCCTAAAAGGGACCCCAATTTAGAGAGCCACCCACAGGGGAGGCTTAGAGCTTGGGTGCTTAGAACTTATACGTCTTATAAGTAGAATATGCTCACTATGCATGCAAACAAGCAAAAATACATTCTTGCAGACACAGGAACACACACACACACATTGTTTAGCATGTGCAGGTTTGCCTGCATGCTTAGCTGCAGGTTTAGGTTGGGCCTCCTTGGGGGAAGGAAGGCCAGGGGGGCTTTGATTGGGGGGTTCGAGAGGCTGTCGGGGTCCTAAGTCGGAACCCCCCAAACAAAACCCCTAAACAAATCCGAAGGCCTAATCTTAGGGCCCCAAACCTAAACTCCCTACTTGGAGGTTCATGGGTAGTTATAAGTGGGGTTATAAGTCCCCTAGTCGGGTTATATAAGTATAGTAACCATACTTTTAACTACCCATGAACCTCCAAATATGACCCCTTATAGACCCCTTATAGGACCTCTTATAGAGCCCTTATAGAACCCTCTCATTGATCCCTAAAAAGGAACCGTATGACTACCCATGAACCTCCAAG